AGGAGGTCAAGGTGAGCAGAATTTTAATTTTATTTACTCTTCCAGCTGTTCTCAGGTGTTCCTATATCAGTTAAAATTTTTAAAGTGGATACTGGTTTTTTAAAGAATCTAAAAAGAATACTTATTTTTTTATAGGAGGTCAAGGTGAGCAGAATTTTAATTTTATTTACTCTTCCAGCTGTTCTCAGGTGTTCTTATATCAGTTAAAATTTTTAAAGTGGATACTGGTTTTTTAAAGAATCTAAAAAGAATACTTATTTTTTTAAAATCTAAAAAGGAATCTCTGATTTCATCATTTCCAAAATGACCAAATAATAAGAGGAATTGTGAAGGTGGGGAAATATTGGGTTTAAATTTGTGTTAAAATGCCAGAGGTTCTCCAAATAAAAAGTCAAAAAAAGAAAAAAAGTCAGAGATTCTGAGTAAGAGATTGTCTTAAAGTAACAGTGGAAATTTTCTAAGTTCTCTAAGCACTGCTAACTTCATTTGTGCTTTTAGATATCTCTCATCTCTAGGCAAGAGCTGAGAGATGGAAACGCTAGTAAATAAAAAATAGAAATAACAAACAAATAAAAACAGACAATAGAATAAAATAGAAACTCACACTCAGAACGACTCTGTCCTTATGGTATGTGGCATAGCAGATAAGCATACCTCCTCACTTAGAGTCCTCTGGTCTCTATGTCTTTATGACAGTTTATGTGAAAGAACATAGCTGGTTGAAGTCAATTGCCCAATCAGTTATATAACAGCTTTTCCCTCTTTTCTCTTTCATAATCTTAGGTAAAATGCCAACTGTGGTCTCTCCGGAGTTGTACAGGACTAGGTTTTGTGAAGCAATGGACAAGTATTTCCTGATGGTACCAGACCACTGGACAGGCTTGGGTCTGAATTGCTGAAAATAAGCACATATTTTGAAATGGACAATGAAGGAAAGGGACAGGAACAAAGGACCGAAAATAAGCTACATGTTTTATTTCTTCGTCATATTCACCAGTGTATGCAAAGGCCTTTCAGTTCTGCACTTCTTTAGGCTGGCCATAATTGAAGGGTGAAAACTGCAAAGATTTGCACTTTGTTTTTTGATACCTGTGAATTTAGCTGTCTGTAGATTGGGAAGTTGCATGAACATTTTCTCATTTAAGCCAAAATACAGACACATTTCAAAGGGCTAAGGTTAGAAATAAGTAGATAGGGTGAAAAATAGGTTTTCTTATTTGATAGTTTGTTTCAAGAAGAAAACAGTATCTCATAGTTGTGACTCTCCTGGTGTCACATTTGTCACATTCTTTACTTAGAAAGCATTTGTACAGCTGCTGAATTTGTTTTGTGTTTCTTATGTAGTAGTTTAATGCTACCTATTATCAGAATTTCTGAAACCTTTAGAAAAATTCTGATTTATTCCATTAATGGCCAGTTGAACAGGTTGGCACTTTTTTTATTGAGGAATTTGACTTAAACTGGAAATCCTGTCATGTTCTTTATCTACCCAGCTTGCCTTACTTTGGAGTGTTTTTGATGTTTTTAAAATTTTGTCTTCTCTGTGGGTGACAGAACATTAACTTTGTCATTCTTGGAGCTATTTTTTAAGCTTGTTTAAATTTTTTGTGTAATTAATATGTTAAACTGCAATGCTTATATTCTAGGGTTTCCCCCCCATTCAGAGAAACATAATAATCACTAGTAAATGAGTCTGCAATCACTAAAATGCCTAAAAGAAGAATTATTAACAAAGGATTGTTTTATATGTAAAAAATAAGTCAGACCCAATTCAAGAAATTGGGTGAGAAGGAAGCATTTGGCTGTTCGTTTATAGTGGTAAAGTGTGTTTTTCAGTATAACCCGCAGTTTAGGTAGCATTTATAAAATTAAAGTTTCCAATGTGGACATCTCCATTTTCTAACTTTCTACACTGACCAGTTCTGACTACTGAGAAATGTTAAGGGATAATGTTATTCTTAGTAAGGAGTCTCTTGTTTAATAGACAGCATTTTTATTTGTTTTAAAAAGTGATCAGAATTACTAATCTGTATTTTGAGGAAATACTGTAACCCTAGAATATTTCCTCTTGGCTCCTTTCTGTAATGAGGATAATTTTGGAATTTATAAAGTTTTAAGGACTCCATTATTTTCAGACTTCCTATAATAGCAGATTAATTGTCACACAATAAGAATAAGAAATCTGGATACGTTCAGTCACACAGAATATAATTACATGAAACAGGAACATTTTGGAAAGTTTGCTTTAGACAATGAAGGTAGTAGTTTCATATTTGATGCTCATTAAAAACATGGTATGTTTTCAAATGGAAGCAAAAAAATTGACCAAGGACTTAATGACTGATCTGATTATAAGCCTCACCCCATTCCCACTCCATTTTTAAAACATGTGTATGTGCCTTTTGATATAAAACACTGATGATTTCAGTTTTGCTATCAAAGACTAGTTAAAGGAGTTGTATACACATGAAAAATATGTGGAACATTATTAACTTTTTGTGTGTCCCAAAACAACAGATTTTGTGTTTAATTTGAAATTCTGACACTGTTTTGTCTCTCTGTTCATTTTTTCTGTCAAGATACTTTGCATTATTTATCCTGTCCATTTCTTGAGACTCCCCTGTCATGAATACTTGAAGGACAAGGTGTCTCCCCCTAGCTGTATCAGGTTTCTTTGTTTTTAGTTTCAATACCATGTGCCTAGCTGGAATGCCCCATGGGTATAGCTCCTGATAATAACGTGTCATGTTGATTTTATTTTTCTTGCCCATGACTTGAAAAACTTTTTAAAGTACTGCTGCCTCTTAGGTGATTCTATGGTTAAGAAAAATTCCAATATGATACATTCTGAAGCAATAGTTGCTGTCTTGCAAGGGTAATGTGTCCTTTTAAAATTAATGTCTGGATTATCTTAATGAAGGGGAAATATAAAATTTAACTATTTGTTTTTGTGGTAGAGCTATATGCCTCGCCCCTTGCTGCTCTTGTTTAGGCCACTACTATATATGTAAGGTGTTTCAAATATTGTTCTACTCAATATTAAGCATTGAATGACTATTGTTCTATCTTGAATTCCTTTTCAAGGCATAGAGAATATAATGCTGAGAAGTTAGGAATGAGGAAGAAATCTTAGTATTTCCTTCCTTAGAATATAGTATGAATCCTGAGGATAATTGACAGTCACACAAGAAAACTATGTCCACATGTTGTTTTGTATAAAAATCTTATTTATAAATGTGAAACTTTTTGATGCTATCAAAACTTATCCAAAAAATAGAAAGGATTTACTTTTTTCTCCTGAGGATAATTGACAGTCACACAAGAAAACTATGTCCACATGTTGTTTTGTATAAAAATTTATTTATAAATGTGAAACTTTTTGATGCTATCAAAACTTATCCAAAAAATAGAAAGGATTTACTTTTTTTTTATCCTAGCCTAAGAAAATAAGGGGAATAAGCGTTGAGAACCCTTTTGTAGTCTATTGAT